CACACACACACACACACAAACACACAAACACACACACAGACACACAAACACACAAACACACACAGACACACAAACACACAAACACACAAACACACACACAGACACACAAACACACAAACACACACACAAACACACAAACTCACACACAAGCACACAAACACACACACATACACACACACAAACTCACACAAACACACACCCAAACTGTCACAAACACACACACAAACACACACACACACAAATACACTCTCACAGACACACACACTCACAGACACACACACAAACACACATACAGACACACACACACACTCACAGACAAACACACACAAACACACACACACACACACACACACACACTCACACAGACACACACACTCACAGACAAATACACAAACTCACACATACACACACACACACAGACACACACACACACACACACACACACACACAAACACACACAAACACACACACACACACAAACTCACACAGGCACACACACACAAACACACACTCACAGACACACACACACACAAACACACACTCACACACACACACGAACACACACAAACACACACACACACTCACAAACACACACACACACAAACACACACTCAGGACACAGGGTGGCAAGGCGTGGCCAGGGCTATGGCTGCTGTGAATGGGCTGGTGTCTTATCATCTTTTCTACGGACTGAGCCCCAAGTCGTCCTTGTTGTTCCAGGACTTCAGATTATTATGTACCCAAAAGACCCGTCCGTTTTATTCATGTATAAATAGATAGATCTGTTGGATTCTGACCAGCCCTGGTTACTTTTTCGAAAAAGGGTTCTTCCCAGAAAGGAGTTCTTCCGTGGTTTATATTTTAGAAGATTCATGTGGCACAGAACTCATTTAAAAAAGCGTCCCCCATACGATTCTAGTTCAGAAAAAACAACAAGCAAGCAACAACAACAAAAACGAAATAAAACACACCTCACCCCCACCCCCCGAACCCCCCCCACCCAAAACAAACAAACAACAACAACAACAATACCTCGAACAAACCCAAAAGAAACCACCCCACATAAAAAAATCGAAACAAACGAACAAACAAACAAACTAACTAACAAACAAACAACAGACACCTCACTAAAACTTTGTCGCAGATTTTCAATAATGGACCGAAACTTCTCAGCGGTGCCCACCGTAAAACCGACCTAGCGACGCGAAGGGCACACCCTATAATAATGATATCTCTACTTACTGCCTGCAGACCTTTGAGTGTCTGCAATTCTTGGCACTGTTAGCACAGGCCCTTTTCTTCTGCCTTCGCATTCATTGTGTGCAAATGCACCGCTTCTCTGCTACCGAATGAGTGTAGATCTCCATGTCGTATTTATTGTTGGATCTATCAGATCTTGCAGTGGATAAAGCCAGAGCCTTTATCGTTGTTGGCTGACACGCCCATGTTTATTACCAGAGCTCGGTATTTATCATTCTGTTGACCCCTTTATTTTCTCATTGTGGTAATGGTTTTATTTGGGTATATTTTATTGAGAGTCGGACGCCTTTTGGGAGACTCACTGCACCCTCTCCCCTCCCTCTCTCTTTCTTTCTCTCTCTCTCTCTCTCTCTCTCTCTCTCTCTCTCTCTCTCTCTCTCTCTTCCCACATTTCCCCACCCCCACATATTCACAAATTCTATCATTTCTAGACAAACTTTCGCAAAATTCTGTTGAACCAGTGCTTCACTCACGGTGTAGTATTTGTGAAACGACGCATTACCAAGTTTCGATTGTTTGCTCAGAATTGTTTTTCTTTTAAAATGGAAAAAAAGAAAGAAAAAAATCCCCCAACAAGATTCAGCAGCTGTGTCCTCCAGGCCGAGCCTGTTGGTCACCTCGCTTCCTCAGAATGACAAAGTTTTATCTGACATTTTTGACCGTTTTTGTGGGTGGTTGGCGGGTGCTCTGGTGTGGTTTGCTCCTTCTTTCCTATCAAATATCTATCGTCCTTATCTCCCCTTCTTCTTTTTTATGTTTGTTACTCTCTTGTAACACCTCTAATCTTTTGGCGCTCATATGACCTTATGCAGTTACGAGCGTCGTAAAACCTCTACTAAAACTAAACTAAACTGTCCGTTTTGAGTTACTAAGACTATCTGCTGTGTCAAAACCGTTACATTAGTAATAATAATGATAATGATAATTGCATTTATATAGCGCATATCCATGGTCAAGAGCTTGCTCTATGCGCTTTACAACTATCATTACCCCAGCAAACCTTCTGAGAACACGCAGAAACATTCTCAGCTTCCGCGGAAGCATACAGTGCAAGCTGCGGATTTCACGCGCTCAAACACTATCAAACTTACAAGATCGTTCACGGTCTATAGCCGGGTACCCATTCCCACCAGGGTGAAGTGAGGAAAATTTGTGCAAAGTGCCTTTCCCAAGGACACAACGTCGGGTCCTTGACGGGATTCGAACCCACGACCTTATGGTTGCGAGTCCGAGAGCTTAACCACTAGGCCACCGACGCCACTAGTCAGAGTCGTGATCAAGATATTCAAAGAATTGCATTCCAAAAAGCTTGACATGTGAAATCAAATTTTTTTAAACGTCAAATTTCTAGACACCTGATACTGAGCAGATTCAGATAGAACATTGTAACTCTAGGATAGTTAAATCTAGGTGGTGACTCTGTGCTCAAAAACTGTTTGTTAATTTGTTAATGGTGGCGTCGGTGGCCTAGTGGTTAGGCTCTCGGACTCGCAACCGTAAGGTCGTGGGTTTGAATCCCGTCAGGGGCCCGACGTTGTGTCCTTGGGAAAAGCACTTTACACGAATTTTCCTCACTTCACCCAGGTGGGAATGGGTACCCGGCTATAGACAGGGAAAGATCTTGTCAGTTTGTTAGTGTTTGAGCGCTTAATCGGCTGCTCGCACTGTATGCTTCCCGGAAATCTGAGAATGTTTCGGAGTGTTCTATGGTCTGCTGGGGTAATAATATAGTGTAAAGCGCATAGAGCCTGCTGTTGAGTGGGGACATGCGTTATACAAATGCTATTTATTATTATTATTATTATGAAAAACAACAACACCACCACCAACAACAACTACAACAACAACCAATATTCGGCAGCTCAGCTGTTTCCTTCAGTCCAGGCCTATTGGCCTCATGACAAGGCTGGGGTGAATGACCTGTCCGATCATCGAATCTGCCAGCAAATTACGACAAGAGGTCGAGCCATGCGCAGTATTATGCTTATTTAATATTAGTTTGACTTTATAAGTTTCGTTTTTACAAGAGTTCTACGGCACTTGAAACACGTGTGAATCATATAATAAATCATAGTGTCAATGATTTGAGGTGTTACAAGAGAGTTACATACAAAGAAAAGAGGGTGGACAGATTAAAATGACGATAGGTGTTTTATACGAGAGAAGGAACAAACCACACCAAAGCACCCACCAACCACCCGCTAAAATGGCTTATTCTCGTAATTGACATGCTATTGGATTGTGTACATTCTCCTCGATAGAATGTCATCTGAAAAGTACTCTTTGGTTTCGAATTTATAACACTCATAGGTCCAGCGTATTCTATACATATTATTTGTTCTATTGACAATCAACTTACCCCC